TTTTTCTAGTTCTTTATTGCTTCCTCCCCTCTGCTCTCTCCTCACTAACATGACCCCAGTTCTATCTTACAAATCTGGCTAGACCAGAGCATGTACACTAGTACAGATAAGAGCTCTTAACACACAGAATCCAGGACAGATAAACCCTTCTGGACCAATAATAAGAGTGGTGATACCATGAGGGTAGGGGGAAGGTGGGGGGGAAAGGAAGAGAAAGGGGAAACAGAACACAATGATTGACATACAACCTCCCCCCCTCCCCCACACACACACACCTGGGGGACGAACAATAGATATGTAGGTGAAGGGAGACAGTGGACGGTGTAAAATATGAAAATTAAAATAATTTATGAGAGGCGGAACGGAGGTACAGAACAGAGACAGCATTTAGCCAGGAATGTGAAGTTGGGAAAGCTTATGGAGGCAGGAAAACTCCTGGGAGGGAAGGGAGAGCAGAGAAAGGGACGGGGGCATCTTGAGCCCCCAGGAGGGTTTCATGACCCAAATAGTTAGGTCAGGGAAGTCGCGCCTGGTACTGGGGCGGCGGGATATATATAGGGTATGAGCTTAAAGGCATATGGGCCAGTAAGGGGAAGGGAGGTTCTTTGTGCTGCAGTTTCAAGTTTTGGGTTAGGAGACGACCTGTCAGTAAATCATTTTGTTCTCAGCACACTTCCTTCCTGGAACGCCAGGGGAAGGAGGCTGTGTCCTGCCCTGGGAGGTAAGCTTTGTGAAATGCTGGAGGCAGGTGCTTTGAAGTTCAGCCAGGTCATTTGTTTTCTCAGGAAGCTGGTACAAGGGGTTGCCCGGTCCAGACCTGGCCCAAACAATTTATAAATTATCAAGGGTTCGGGAGGGTTGGAGAGTGGGTGAGGGAGGGGAAAGGGGAGGAGCTGATACCAAAGGCTCAAGTAGAAAGAAAATGTTTTGGAAATGATGATGGCAACATATGTATAAATGTGCTTGATAAAATTGATGTGTGGATTGTTATAAGAGCTGTAAGAGCCACCAATAAAGTGATTTATTAAGATTAAAAATAAATAAAATAAAGAGCTTTCAGACTGTACTTCCTTCAAGACAGATTTGTTTGTTTTGTACTTTCAGTATTCATCACCAACACCATAATTCAAAGGCGTCAATTCTTCTTCCATCTTCCTTATGCCTTGTCCAAGATTTTCATGACCGATCTTTTTTTCAAATTAGAAAGGGTATTCACAAGAAGAAAAATCCAGCCAGCAAGTTTAAATGATGGTCCGTTCATGTGATCGAGATACATGGAGTCCTTGAAAACCTGTGTTATCAAGGACCACTCAGTCATGAAAAATGCTTATAAATATGCCCGTATTGAGAAAAAGAAAGCTATATAAAAGAATAGACATGATCAACACCAACCAACAGATACACTTATTAATAGATGTGCATTACTAAGAGGGGAATGTTTTTAAACAAGGTAAATGTGATGTTTTTTAATTCAAAATTAAATTGGAAATGTAACTTGTAAGCAATAAGTGATCTGTGCAATAAAAGTGTGTTCAAACTGTGAGTATCGAGGCAATGGGAGGACGGATGGCTCATTGGTAGACCTCTCATACTCCAGGCTTGAGAACAAGTGTGCTTCCTGGCTAGTGTTTGCCATGCCTGTCAATGGAGGCTTGGGTGTTGCTATGACACTGAGTGGGTTTTAGCTTCCAGAACTTCCAGACTAAGATGGACCAGGAAGAAAGACTTGATGATCTCAATAGGTCAGTTTATAAGAGAGCATAGGGATGGTTCAGGACCAGGCAGCATCCCGTTGCATCATGCACAGGGCCACTGTGAATCAGGAGCCATCTCAATGGCAGGTAGCAACTGCAAGTAGCAACTGTAACAGCTAATGGAAAGGCAGCTTTGACCAAGCCAGGTCTCCCTCTGCACTCATAGGGCTTACATTCTTGTGTCAGAGCATTTGGACAGCATGGAAAACATTTTGAAGGGCAGGCGGGGGGCGGGTTGGCCCAACATGCAGGAAGAAAGCCACCAGAGATGGACCAGTTGGCAGAGATGGTGAGGACAGACGCCATATTTATGTGCAGAGGAAACCGAGTAGCGCATCAAAGGCAGTCACTATATAGCTGTGATATATTGTTGTGAGGCTCCGCACCATTGAGCCAGTTGGACTCACACAGCAGAACAAAACACCACCCAGTCCTGCTCCATCCTCCTGGTTGTTGTTGCAGCCCGTTGTTGCAG